CTCTCCATGTAGCATCAATTATGCTAATGCTAGCTGCCTGTCTGGCCACACCTCCGCTCTCTAACCCCACCTCCCCTACCCACTTTGATGCATTTTTCAAATTTCGCCCTGGGGCGGAGTTATCTTTTTACAGGGGGGTAAGACACACGTTAACAGCATTTTTAAGAATAATTCTAAGACGTTTTGTAAATATAGGCCCAGACCTTCAGTGTGAACGTACCCCTAGTAACCCTTAAGTTCCACATGGATTAATTTATAAAACTTGTCAATAAAATATTTAAACAACCAATTCTTTCAGTTTTATTTGTAACATGTGATGTGAATATTTCCTCACTACTGCCTTAAAAACGGATTTGTGTTTTACAAAAATGCATCAGTTAATCTAATTATTTTTTCTATAAGAAGTGTTAAAACTGACAGAGTTGTGTGTTTTGGATCATCTGTTGTAATACTGCTTGTTATCAGTCTTCTGGAACAACTTAAATGGGATGTTTGCTCAGACTTTACCAGCCACACCCACCTTTCCTCCACTCCTTCAGAAACACCACAGCTACTTCCTTCGCTAAAGACAGACTGCACAGCTCCATTCGTGTCGACTGTCCAGAGTCCACGAGTACAGCTTTGCTCATCCCACCACCGTCAGTTCAAGTGACACGGCTCACGCCAGTCAGGTATGTTATAATCTCAGCCCTAAATGTTTCTGTCAGGACTAATCAGTTTATGCAATAAATGGTTCCTTTTTAAAGGCTTTTTATAATTTCCTTCAAAAATTTCATCTCTAAAATGTCAAAACAACATTTTCTTATCACTTATGACCATTTATTTTCACGACAGTTTGTTGCWACAGCAAAGACTAAAAGCATTGCTCAGAAAGCACTTAGATGAATATRTTTTTTGCTTTCACCTTTGAGGCTGTCAGATGTATTCTGAACATGTTACAACAAATGTTGAAGCAGTATTTCAGTTGTTACTGAGCAGAGGAAAGGAAAACGCATTTACAACACAGACTCTGTGAACATCTAATAAAATTCTTATCTTGAGGTGATGACTGACCCAGCTGTGTGACATAAAGGTGTGGCAATCTTCTGAAACGTTGTAGATTAGAGTAACAGGCATTATCCATGAATTTGGCACACGTGCATTAAATGTGTCATAAACATCACCTGTTGTTGAAAGGCAGACAATAATGTTTTACTTATGTCTGAGTGTTGATAAAATGCCTCATGAACCAGAAGACACATTTTAATGAAACTCTGAGTGTACATCTACATGAATAACTTTTGGAGTCTACCCCATTTAAGACAGCCACCGCAGCTAATGTAAGTAGCTTTTGCAAACTSAAAAATAGCTCAAACTCCGTCAAATATACAAATGTTTAGGTGATCCCCAATACTCAAAGTGCAATCTGATTAGGAAGATCTGTTTTTACACCTTTGCTATTAACTGCTGGAGTCAACTGTAGTTATCTGTTAGCAAAATATCCTTTGAAACACTGGTCAGACTTAAATAGAAATCTCAGAAAGTACATATTAGATGTACATCTACAACTGATTCACTTTTGAAGTCTACCTATTTTCAAATGGCATTCAGAGACGACTGACCATAGCAAATACATAAAAGGCTGTAACTCACCTAAATTCTTACAAAATGAGCCAAAATTGTGTGATAGATAGTCAATCACTACACACATGAGATTGTGTATATAGCTTTTTACCAGATTTAACTGGCATTAAAGGAAGTGTGATGTATCCATTGCTTTCCATATATAAAAGCTTTTACACAGCTGTGCTGCTACAGAGTGAGAACCATGTTAGGTTTTTAACAATCAAAGTTAGGTCAGTTTTGGGAAGTGAGGACTTTTTCCTGGTCCTCACATTTTTTTTTGCATACTCTACTAGTTAGGTTTACAGGTATGATGTGAATTAAGCTTTGGTTCAGGTTAGGAATAAACTAGTAATTGTTAGTTTTAGGGAAAATATCTGGGTTACATAAATACAGTTACAAAAATGGACGGAAGTCAATACAAAGCTCTCAGTTTGATGCAAGTGCAAGGATATGTGTGTGTGTGTGTGTGTGTGTGTGTGTGTGTGTGTGTGTGTGTGTGTGTGTGTGTGTG